TCGCAATGAATTCGATTGGATTTTGGACGACCACGCTCCCTCAATAAACTTAGATTTGGTATAATCGGAAGCCAATCTTGAACCTCATCAGGGTCTTTGTCATTACCTATGGGGGAAAACTCAAATTCGTATACCTTAAAAACTTCAGATAGTAGGTATACGGGATCCACAAAACGGTTATAGTCTTGACGTGTATGCGAGCAAACTGCTATCACATGAGAGCATGAATACTTCAGAGCTTAAAAAACCCGTAGTCGCACGTTATTTCCCTTAGATTTACTCTTAAAGACACAGCTTCAATCCCTTGAAGAGGTTGTGGCAACTCTGTGACACGAAACATTTCATGACTTCTAGAGAAGCTTGTTACAGACATTCCATTTGATGCAACAATTTTTTTCTGTATATCTGCAACTAATCTAGGGTGATAGACATGACCGTCTTGAATCCAGGTTTCAACTTGTCCCCCGAGCTTCGCAAAAAGTGCCCCCAAACGAAAATATGTAGTTTTTATCAAAGTCGTTACAGGTAAGTGACGTGCACCCTTTAAGGTTGAATTGATTGCCTCAGCCAAGTTGGTCGTCATGTGTCCATATCGATATCCACCATCATATGCGTTCGTCCACATTTCTTTATTGATGAGGCTGATGTAATCGTATCCTTCCTCGTTCTTCGCCCGTAAATCTTGAAGCATTGATTCAAACGTTCGAGGAAGTAGTTCGTAACCTGATCAAAAAATGTATAACTTGAAAACTTGATTTCTTTGCAAAATTAAAATGATCAAAAAATGTATAACTTACTAACTTGTTTTCACTTACCCATGCGCACAATTAATTGACGCTCATCATTCTTCTTGTACCTTCCATGGTAGTTCGCAGCAATGTGTCGGAGACAATACCTATGTTAGACAAGGGGTGGTTGCTACATTGGACCCAAAGACTCCATTGTTGCTTTGATCCCAGCTCCGCGATCTAAAATGACATAGATTTTCTCCCTCGTGATAACATGTGCACGTAAGTTTCGGAGGAAAAAAGCCCAAGAATCTGTATCTTCTCCTTTGACAAGAGCAAAAGCAACTGGAAGAATGTTGCGATTGACATCTTGGACAACTGTCAATAATAAAACTTGCTTGTATTTTCCATACAAGAAAGTCCGGTCGATCTGGATCACAGGCTTGCAGTATTTGACAAAATTAACACACTGTGGGTAAGCCCAAAAAATCCGGTAGAATTGACATCGATCGCGTAGAACTCGATCATTATGGTATACATAGGAGGTTTCGAAGTCCACAATTGTCCCAGGATTCAATGTCCGCACCAGCCTAAACCAACCTGGAACTTCGGTTTAAAATGCATCCCATTCGCCACGAAGTTTGACAATGACATTTTGTTTTGCCAACCAAACTTTTTTATATGAGACATTGTACCCATATTACGATTGTATAGCTGAAATCAACACTGCAACAGCTATATGAGAGTTTGCTTTTACGATGGGCATGATGACTTGGCATATCACTTCAGAGTCCAAGTTGGGATGATCTTGGTTGACCCCTCCAACACAACATGTGTGAGGACCGTTGTATACTGTTAGTTCCCATCTGTTATTTTTCATCTTCCTCTTCGATACGCGAACCATCTAATTGAATCCATTTTTGTGTCGGGCACAGTAGCATACATATTTTTCGGTCGTGGAGCGGTTGACTCTGGACTGAACAGAATTACGGATATTGTAATTTTTTATAGCCATCATTGCTTCTTCATTGCTTGAAAACTCCATGTCTAAAGATAACTCACCATTATTTATTGATGAGTAATATCCATAATCTCTGAGATGAGGTATATCCGCAAATTCTGGCCCGTACATTGCATCATAATCAGCTTCATACATGTGTGCTGGAGGGTCAGTTTGTGCCACATTTTCTGGAACTTCATCTACATCATCATCACCATCGGAGTTGAATTACGGTGATTCTGGGTGAATGAATAGTCCAGTCTCAGCACCATCCGCACCAGGCTCACGAAGCGGTTCTTCTGGTGGAGATGGTGGTTCCTCCATGCTCTTCACATTTAGGTCGAAGAACCTACTACTGGCACGCCTTCCCCTTGAACTAGAAGGCATATCTGGATTGAGATCAAAAAAGCTCGCAGTCAAATGCCTCTCCCTAGAGCTTGAAGCCATCGTGTCAAATGAAAACTGCACAGATTGTTGCATCGATGGCATCTCCATATTAAGGTCAAAGAATTTGCAGATGAATGTCTTCCCCTCGAACTGGACGCGATATTGACATACAAATTATTCGTGGACCCACTTCGGTACATATCGTAAGGAGTTGCGGATGAATGTCTCCCCATTGAAGTTGATGTACCGGCACCATGATGTGGATTTCCCATTATGGCATTAAAATCATTACACATTACTGTAGTCGGGTTGTCAACTTGATCAACTTGTTCAGCCAGCCCATAGTGTGAGCTTAATGGCTGACCTCGAACAACACGCACGTGAACAAACTTTGCATACATCTCAATATCGTTGTCTGAATAATTACTTTGAGAATCAACCATCATTTTAACATCATCATTATTCGATAGTTCGAACGTTGTATAAATTAATGGCAATAATGATGTTGAAAATATGTACTGCAACGACGACATTCTTCTACTACTTCCAACATGAACCTTCTTCGAAATCTTCGTTATCAGCTCGTCAAGAGTTATGTTTCTCTTGAATGATATTTTAACACGCTCATTTGATACGAAAACAACGTCGGTTTCATCTTCTCGAATTTCTCCATCATAATAAACAATAGCTGAAAGTCGCGTCATTCTTAGAGTTTAAAAGTGCAATAATATTATATATGCAAAAAAATAACTGAATCAAACCTGATTAAATAAATAATATATGACCAAAAATATAACATAATATATTTTTACACATAAACGTAAATAATTTAAATAATATAATTTTATATTATTACCTGCACCGCAAAAATATTTCGACGTATGCTTCTACTTTCTAATTCTACAAACACAGAAATTAATTGAAAACAATTAGTATAATATTTTTTTAAATAATCATATATAACTATAAAATAAATATTATAACAAAATTACCTTATAACGAAAGATCGAGCAAACTTCTGAATCAAATATAAGATGATTGTCGGATGTTATTTACTGATTCAAAGGATTGTTGGTGAAAGATTTTACGGGAGACGACTATTTATAGCCGAGAGAGGATGCCTTAAAGCCGAGAAGTTTGAGAAAATAATGCAAGGCGCGGTCCTTGCACCGCGCCTTGCATTATGCATGTTTGATAATTGAGATAATTGAATAATGTAGCCCTTGCCCCGCGCTATATCTTACGTGGCATATGGCACGACCCCTGCCCCGCGCCATACACACGTGTATCCATGTTAGCATAAGGCGCGCCTCAGGGGGTGCGTCTTACCCCACGTGGCGCCAAATCAGAGTATAGCGCGCTGCAGGGGGAGCGCCTTACTGCAAAGGTGTTAGATCGAAAAATATAGTCTGACCGGTGCCTGATCGAGAATATTAAATTAAAAAGATGATTTTTCGGGAAAAAACACCGTTTGTCTTAGGATGACCTCATTTTACCTATGGTATTTATGTTTTTTCCCCATTTTGGTCATCCATCAATAACAATTTGATAGAATTATTGTGACATCTTTTTATTTATTTTTTCATAATGATATGACATTATTTTATTATGATATGTCAGCATTATCGTTAATTTTTTAACAATGGGTGACCAAAAATAAAATTAAAACTAAATAATAAATATATTTTTGAAAAAAGATAATTGGATGATCAAAATTGAACAAAAATATCAGTTGGAGTATTAGAAGTGTAATTTATGTAAGGCTTAATACACTTTTTATTGCCTAAACTATAATTCAAAATATGATTTGATTCCTGAAGAATTTTTGCTAACAATAGATGTTTAACGTTTTCAACGTTACACTTTTAAGTGTCTGGATTATAACGACAGTTGAATTTGACCGTTATTTGACACGTATCATGCATATAAAATTTTAAAAATTATTTTATTTAAAAAACTTAATATTATAATTAAAAAATAAAAAACGCCAAATTTTACATCTTCCGTCATCAGTCGGTTATTATCGGTCCGTAGCCATCACCGTTGATATCATTAGAATTGTCTCGTCGTTGCGACCAAAAATTAATTTCCCACCGACCGTGAAACTAGGTCGATCATCGTGAAACTAGGTCGATCGTCATGAAAAGTGACATGAATGTTGTTGGATTTTTAAGTTTTTCGTTGTTATTTTCTGACAATTTTGACGGCTACAACCATTCGTAGGTTACACGACCTCCACTGTTATGTTTCTCGTCATGTTTCAAATAAAATCCAACCTGTGGTGACCCTTTACTGTCGGCGGTGGGGGATGGAGAGAGAGGGACAATAGGGAAGGGTTTTTTTTTATTTTTTATTTTTCTTTTTTCAAAAACAATAATTGTTGTTAAAAAATTAAAAATTAAAAAATAACTGGACCTAAAAGTTTAAAAAATATAATGATAGATACTTAAAAATATAACGAAAAAAAATAGATACTTATTATTAACAAAATATTCTTTAGATATCAAATCACATTTTTAGTTATAGTTTAAACACTAAAAATGTATTCAGTATTTATGTGAACATTATAATCCAACAAGTGAACAATTATCCAATCAAAGGTAACCCGTAGCTTTTAGTTTTAAAAAAAGAAAAAGTATATGATTAATTTCCACGTGTCAAAAAATAAATAATAATAATCCGTTTGTTAAATAAAGCGCACGAGATCCCAACCTCCGCTAAATCACTCTCTTATTTCCATCGGATTATTCAGTAAAAACAACATTTTTTTTTATATTTTGGAGTCGCCTAAACCAATGACTCAATTTTGTTTTGTTTCTATTAGTATTTGTAGTATTCTTATTTTATCTGGGTAAAGAGATCTCTTCAATGAAACCTCTGAATTGGTGAATTGGAATTTTTGCATTAAAAATTGTACAGTTGGAGGGAGATCTCTTTGAAATTGGTGTGTGATCATGGAGTCGTATATCTGGAGCAGCAATTCCAAGCCAGACGCTTCGCATTTCCTCGTTGCGCTTTATTTCGCCCTTTGTTTCTCTGTCGCCAGGTTCTTGCTCGACAAGTTCATTTTTCGCATATGTTTTTCTTTCCTTCTTTGAGTTTTGATTCCTAACATAGTTTATTGTTTCAAAATTTTAATTGCTATTTTGGTTTTATTATATTTCGTTTGGCATGTATTAAGCTTAATAAAGAATAGGCCATTTTATAATTCAAAATAAATCCATCACATCAAAAAAACATGCTAGTAATTGGCCTGAAGTGAAGTCAAGGAGGAATTTTTTTTCTAGTTTAATACAACATTTTAATTTTTATTGATGTTCCTTTAGAGGTTGTCTGTCTGGTTATTGAGTAATGGATCTGCTCCTTTGAGGAAGAATATTGAGGCTACACAGGCAATAATTGCAAAATGCTCAGAATCTATGTGGAAGCTGACATACTTTGCTACTGTTGAAACATGGATCCTCAAAATCACCTACTATGAGCCATGGTTCAGAGATGTAAAAGGGTACTTTAGGGACTGGCCAAATCAAGAGTTGAAGTGAGTAACCTATATTCCTGAAATCCAACTGTTGTGTTTATCAATCTCATATCTTGTGCTAGTATGCAATGTAATTCACCTCTTTTTCAGGTTATAGTTGCCTTTGTCATTAACTGACAGAAAGTTAATGTTCCTCTTCAGTTCTAGTGCTCTACGTTTCTTATGTCTAAATTGGCATTGCATGAAAGGCTCCTCTTGTTTATGATTATTCTCTAAGAGATAATGGTCAAATCTATTATTGTCCATTTCTTTAATGATTGAATGCTCTGAAACTACTATTCTATCTTCATACGAAGGGATGTATCTGCGCTCAAGGGAAAACAGCTGTTTCCTCTCTTAATTTCCTTTTGTTTTAATTCCGATGAACGGTTTTTCTATTTTTCCTTTAAAAAATGTGAAATCTATCATTTTATGTCTCGAATTTTCCATTTTTACTTCACTCGAAATTAATTGCAAACAACTTTGTATAAAAGCTGGTACTCATTCCTGTGCACCTCTTTGTAAAGCTATGGTGAATGCTTGCTCATATTAATGTATTTGAAAGTAAATTCGCGTCAAATATCTGATTATTGCTGTTGTTGCTGTTCTTGTTTTCCATTTCAGTTCCGATAACCTCCCATCTATTCTTAACCTTCACTCTAGACAAGCTTGTTCACTTGTTTTAATGTGCTTTCATTTGGCCTTTTGTTTTGAATTGGAGGAGGTATAAGTGCTCTCATGCCCCAGGTGAACGTGTTATCTTATCTCTGAAGTATCTTTCTTGGTAACTTATCTTGATGGAAAATAATTTCTAATGAGATATTGTCTACCTTGAAGGAATAAAACTGTTTTATCCGTTTTTTTATTGAAATTTATGTGGTTTCTCTTGATACATACCTCAACATGTTTTGCTCTGTTCTCTTTAAATTTCCTGTTTTCTTTAATTCTTGGGTCCTGTATGGTGGGAGGACTAGTGCTTGTTATACCTGCCGACAACTTACTTTACATTTAATTTCTTCCCTTTTTTTCAGGCTTTCCTTGAGCCTTTTCTACATGTGCCAACGTGGGTTCTACATCTATAGCATTGTTGCACTCCTTACTTGAGAGACTCGAAGGAAGGACTTTGCTGTGATGATGTCCCATCATGTAATTACTACTATCCTGATTGGATACTCGTATGCCACAAGGTAACTTGCCCTTTTCTGTGGAAGTGCATCTATCCTGTTATTACTTTATAAAAGAGGCAAATAGTATTCCTTGTGTGTTGTTTGCATTCCATTTTTGAAATTATTATTATTATCTTTTATTCTCTACATACTAAAATGTGTTTGCTTTCTGTACGCATATAGGGTATCCCTAGTTGAATATGCTCCCGTTTGCAAGTTGGTTTGATAAATTATATGAACTTATAGATATCCAAGCATGAAGAAGATTATAATTGGCTTGTTTACAGCTTTTTCCGCATTGGTTCAATTGTCCTTGCCCTACGTGATGCAAGTGATGTGTTTTTGGAAGCATCTAAAATTTTAAAATATACGGGAAGGGAGCTCAGTGCTAGCGTGTGCTTCGGATTATTTTCCATCTCTTGGCTCGTGCTACGTTTAATAATCTTTCCATTTTGGGTCATCAAAAGTTCAAGGCTTGCCTTTACGTTTATGATTCGGTTTCACTGTGTGATCTGCAGACTGACTGATGAATCGTCTACTTTGGTGGTTGGCCTCTAACAGCTATGATGTTATGGAGTTCTTACGTCCTTCAGAGTCATATCCCAAATTCTTGTACTATTCCCTGAACACTATGTTGCTAATGTTGCTTGTGTTCCATGTCTACTGGTAGGTGCTCATATGCTCCATGATCATGAGGCAATGGCAAAATAGAGGAAAAGTAGGTGAAGACATTATATCCGATAAACATCTCTTCTCTCTTGTTTTTCTTAAATATTTTTTTTGTTAATTTGAACCATTAAATATAATTCCATGATCTTAGAACTTGATGTTCACATAAACTTTGTGAAGAGCGTGCTTGTTTCTATAATTCTCTTTTGGTAAGTGGTTGACCAACATCTTTAATATTATTTTAGAGACTGCCAAGATGCCAGAGGAGTGGAGAGAGTCTACGGTGATACCAATCTATAAGAATAAAGGAGATTCCCAACGTTGTGGCAACTACAGAGGTATTAAACTACTCAGCCATACCATGAAGCTATGGGAAAGGATGATTGAGGATAGGTTGAGACAGATTACTAGGGTTTCGAAAAACCAATTTGGCTTTATGCCAGGCAGGTCTACTACGGAGACGATTCATCTACTTCAACAGCTTATGGAGAAATATAGGGAAAAAAATAGAGATCTTCACATGGCGTTCATTGACCTTGAGAAGGCGTATGATAGTGTTCCCCGAGATACGATCTGGAAGACCTTGGAAACGAGATGGATCCCAACTGCTTATATCCGAGCGATTCGTGATATGTATTGTAGATCTACTACGTACGTCAGGACTACAGTTGGCGACACTGAGGCATTCTCGGTGGAAATCGGACTCCACTAAGGGTCGACTCTTAGCCATTACATCTTCGCCTTGATTATGGACGACATCTATTGTGCGACACTAGACGGTGTTCCATGGTGTATGCTTTTCGCTGACGACATTGTCCTAGTTGCTGAAACAAGAACTGAGCTAAATAGTAGACTGACTACCTGGAAGACTGTTTTGGAAGAAAAAGGTCTAAGGATCAATATTGCAAAGACAAAGTATTTATCTTCAAACTTCAGTGGGAACCAAAACGCTGAAGATGTAGAGGTATGCATAGAAGGACACGTTCTCCCCTCAAAGGATTGTTTCAAATATCTAGAGTCTATGATACATAAAGATGGGGGTGTGGATGATGACGTTACACATCGTATAAAGGCGGGATGGCTAAAGTGGAGGGCTGCAACCGGAGTATTGTGTGACAAGAAGGTGCCTCTAAAACTTAAGGGAAAATTTTATAGAATGGCAATAAGACCAACGCTGCTGTATAGATCAGAATGTTGGGCAATCAAGAAGGATCACGTAAGGAGGATGGAGGCCGCAGAAATGAGAATGCTTCGATGGGCATGTGGTAGGACTCTGTGGGACATGATACCAAACTCTGCTATTAGGATGTCATTGGGGGCTGTGCCTGTATCCGAAAAATTGAGGGAGGGAAGACTACGGTGGTTTGGGCATGTCCTTAGGCGACAACCGTCGGATACGATCAGGAGGGTAGAGTCGATTATAGTCGACGGTGCCAGAAGGAGAGGACGACCAAGGCGAAAGTGGGAAGACTGCTTGAAAACTGATTTGAAAGATTTAGCCCTTACCGAGGACATGACCTCAGATAAGAAAGTATGGAGATTTAAGATCAGGGTAGCTGAGTAGTACGGGTCACATCCTTAGGGTGTATCATCTCTGTCTTTTTTTTAATGCCTTTATAGAAATTTCCATGACTTCTACTTTTTATACGTCTCTGTCATTGTAATTTATGAAGGCTAAGAACTAGGGTATTGGAGAAATATTGCCTTAGTTTAGGTTTTAACCCATTTGACCTTATTTCTTCCCGTTGCTTGCTATCGTTGACTTCTGTGTATTCTTCTCTTCATGTTTCCTCTTTTTAATTTTAGTCGGATCTTACGTTTCTGTCTATATGCAGAGCTTTTGACGCAGGGATCTAATTGCAGGGATTAATTCTTATTACAGATGTGCATATATAGACTGCATATGTAGACTGTTTAACTATGTATTTATTTTTTATTTTTATACATGCATTGCATTTTATCTTTATTTTTAATTTTTTTAACTGACGGAGATCTTCCACGGAAGCTGCTCTCAACCTGGCATTAGGGGCAGCCTACTATCCTACCTCCCCCTTATCTCATTACATATGGGAATAGGGTTTTGTTGTTGTTGTTGTTGTTGTATTTAGAAGATAATTTTGGTAGAAAATACCTTTATACGTCTGACGTAGAGTGCTTTTTGCTCATGAGACTAAAATATTATCAATCTGGGAAATAAACGGAAAAGAGTGATATTTGAAGTAATAAATTTTTTTTGTAATATCAGTTTGTGTATGTAGAGGCTTGTAAAAGGAAGTAATGCCGTAATTGAGTTGTTTCCGACATGCTTGTGTTGGTTGAAATGCAGATTCCGAAGATGAAGGTGACTAAACTGAATATGCCCATTGGTTGGGGCGATGTCAAGCCTGAGGCTGAGGCTTTCTCTACAGAGGATCGAGTAAAACCTTGTCAATATTTGATTGATTCTTTCCTTGGGGGTGTAGAAGAAGAGTTTTTGTGCATCTTTATTTTTTTGGTTATCTAAATCGAATCTGTAAAATTAAAGCAACTTTCTGGGTATTCATTATTTGGGTATAATTTTACGTCTTGATATTTATCCTTCCTAAAATTTCAAACAAAATTGTGTATCACATGTTGGATTATAAGATTACATTTGGCGGAACATTTTATTTAGGTATTTTTTTTATGATTATGTAATTTTATCTTACTTGAAATCGACAGGTGTAGTCGCTTTCCAAATTTATTAAGAGATGGCCGACCTTTTCAAGTCCAATTCTTCTAGAATTCAATCTATTAAAACTCGAATGCAGAAACTCACATCCTATCCTATCCTTGTGTTAATACAGAATTAGTCAAATGTGTCAAAGGAAGGGGGACCTCTTCATGTTGCCGTCTTTGTTCTTGTTTCAGCTTTCATCCTTTATTTGTTTCTTCTTTTATCACCATGGCATGGGGACACTGCCAGGGGCAGGGGACACGGCATCCCTACCCATTACAAGTAAAAAAAAAATACATTTAGTACAAAGAAAAATGGTAACCTTTTATTCTTTTCATAAAAATAATAATTTAATTTAAATATTTTTCGACCCATAGTTTTAAAATGTAACCTAATTGTTGTACATATTAAAATATGATAATAACAAATATGTAAGTGAAGTCACACCTATCATGATGTTGGGATTTTTCAATCACCTTACAGAAATGCACCTAATATCCAAAAAGAGAGAGAGAGAGAGAGAGTTTTTTTCCCTTCATTCTCTCTGAAAATCTATTAAACTTGAATCATCACTGTTATTATAATATCTTTTACAAGCATATTGATAATAAATATACCTACTCTATCGATACAGTTATTCGGATCACTTAAGAAAAATAATAATAATAATAAAAAAAGTGAGAAAAAAAATTATGAGGCTTGTGTGGACCCCTCGTCCTTACATTTCCTGAGGTCATAAAATGACGTCATCAACCACATGGCCACTTCTGCTATCTACTAGCACACGCCGACGAAACACAGGTCTCCTAAGCCGTGTATTAACGGTGTACCCAGCTGGAATGCCACGTAGGCACTTCCGATTCTCCTTATATACTCGTCCTTTACAAACAAACTGAAATCTGGAATCTCCTTGTTTATCATAATTCACCGCCACTTCCCTCCCACGTTTATACGGAGCTTTTGCCCGCTGTACCATCTTTCTACGGAACAAGAAATTCCGCCATGGTTTCCGCCTTCAAGAACCTCGTCACTGGTTCCACTTCCCCTTCCTCCGCCGCTATTGATTCTTTTCTTGATTTCGGTGCTCCCGGGGGTTCCGCTTCTACTTCTGCCGGCGTTGATCGGGGAAACACGGTACTTCAAGTGAGTGAAGTTCAGGATAAGTGCCACGTCTGCAAATTCGACTTCTGTCTGGGTTGCAATCTCTTCCCGCCAAGTCAGCAAGACGAAAAGAAGGGGACAACAATCAAGCCTAGAGGTAAAAGAGTAAAGAAAAACTACAGGGGAGTACGTCAAAGACCCTGGGGGAAATGGGCAGCGGAGATTCGAGACCCAAGGCGTGCCACCAGGGTGTGGCTCGGAACCTTCAACACGGCGGAGGAAGCAGCTCGTGCTTACGATAAAGCAGCTATCGATTTCCGAGGACCAAGAGCTAAACTCAACTTCCCCTTCCCTGATATCAGTGCAACACCTCCACCGCCACCTGCAGCAACCGGAATAGCTACACCGAAAATAACCGGTGACAATGAAATTAATAACAGATGGATGGATGAATGAGGAAAAAGACAAGGGAAAAGGACTGAAGGATGCAGTGAGAGAAGATGGATGACGATGATGATGATGATGACAGAATTTGAAGGGGACAACTATTGTTGGAACTCTACAGGGAATGCTAATAGTTGTTAAACTTTTTTGATGTATTTGTAGCAGAATATTGTATTTGTATAATTTAGAATATCCACCATAGCCATCGGCTCTTCTTCTATTTTACGAAGAGAGAGAGTTGGATGGAGCTATAATATTAAATTACAGTGGCAATGTAATATAATGACATTATCATAAGTTTTTTAAAGTCATCATAACAATGTAAATCATATTCATAAAATAAATTTATAATCATTTTTAGAGAAATAAATCACGTAGTAACTACTACAGCATCCACAATCGCAAGTTCACAGTTACTGTAAAATTGTAATTTCCCATTGCCTATGTTTTTCTTCATTGCCTAAAATTAAAGGATTATAAGTAAGCGGGTGAATTTTATTTTCCAGATATATTCTTTTCGGTAGTGGTGGAGCGACACTTTGGTGAGATTTACTTAAAATTCAAATTTTCTTCAATTAATTATTTATTTTATTGATATTGTTCATTTTAAATATTTTAGTGTTTATTTTAAAATTTGAATTTTTTTTGATTAGTTAATTATTTAAAAAAAATACATTATTTCAAAAAAAAATTTGTATAATTATTGATTTAAAATATAACTTTTTAAATGACGATGTTTGAGTAAAAAGCCCAATTGAAAGATTTTGATCAGCTTTGACATGTGCTGAATTGAGTTCATTCGTCACGTGGGCTGAGCAACGAAATCGAGAAAATCGAAAAATCGATATGAATCAAGTAAAACGGTTTGGTTCGGTTCAGTTTGGCATTATACGGTTAGATTTTCAGTTCGGTTTAAAGTCTTCATTCTTTTATTCGTTCGGTTCGGGTTTTCTATATGAAACCCATTTGTTCCATATTGAACCGAATAGGTAATTTTTTTAAAAAAATGTATAATTTCAAGTGATTTTTTATTGAAAAACTGATAAACCGAACCGAACCATTAAAAAAACCGAATCAACCGAAAAAACTGATTTCAATTTTTTCAATTTTTTAACCATTCGGTTTCGATTTAAATTTTAAAAACCATTTATTTTGATTTGGTTCAATTTTTGATAAAAAACGAACCGAACTGAATACAACCTTATTTGTGTGGTGGGGGTGGGGTTTAATCTATTGCTTTTTTCTTTATGTATTGATTGAAAATACTTCATATTTCGAGGGGGAAAAAGATACAAAATGGAATAGAATTATTATTATCATTTCCTTCATATTTTCCACGTGATCCACGTGGGACAAATCAAAACACAATTTTGAGTTATTTCTTTAATTTTATATTGGGCGATTTTGATACTAAATCAAGTAACGTCAAAGCATAGTCATTAACTCAATTAATCATGTCATGATAAAAGATTAGTGTTATTATTGGGTTCTATGTTAACATCTTGAATTCAAACTTTAAATAGTCCTTACTTTATTATCATGTTATTTTTTATTTATTTATTAGCATGTGATTTATTCTCATATGTTCACTGTTATTTGATCAAAAGCATTCCATTTTTTCAATAAGATGAGGATTGGAGAGTGGTTTTTAGAGATCTGTATAGTTGAGAAGTTCGTCGAAGCCAAAGGAATCGCATACTTCGAAATCAGCTCGATCTGAAGATGGATTTAAATGAACTGAAGAGAGAAAATCGACGAGTTTTGAATTAGATCTATCACTTCCAAAGTTTTTTCGACAAAAATAAACACTATTTTTTTAATAACAAACACTAGAATCATTGAAGGGACTCTAACAAGTTTAATGTGAAATTTGGAAATTCTTTGACTCGTATGATTAACTAAGTATGGGATTAACTCTATTCTTTATTAGTATAAATATTAAAGGTTAAAAGAGCCTTGGGGCTGGCAATAGTATAAATGAAGTTATTCAATGAGGGAAGAAGAAAAATAAAGAATTTGAGTCTTTACTACATTCCTGCAGATTATACCATCTGTCTACAGATCTCGCTACTTCACTACTTGAAACAATCAAACGTGGTCATAGCATACATACACAAGTATCCTTGGACCACACATATCAATCATTGCATTATAATGCCAAACTAGATAGTTTAACAATACAATCATCGTTGATAATCCAGTCAAGTAAGGACATTTTCTCTCACGTCACTATATGTCTCATTCTCTTACCTAGAACATTATGTAAAAATAAACTAGTCTTTTAATAGTTTGAGCTTAGGACATTTAAGACATTAAGCATTTCTTCACTCTTTTATAGACTTTAAGGGTCTATTTTACCCACTTTAATTAGCTATATGCTCACTTTCATATATATATATATATATATATATATATATATATATATATATATATATATATATGAATACTTAAAGGTATTTTGGTCATTTTTACTAATCTAAGTATATTTTGATAATTTATCCTTTTCGAGAGTATATTTATTCACTTTTACACCTTTCAGCCTCTATATAAGCTAAATCTTTCGTCATGAGTCATCTCTCGGTCCTACAAGCTTTTACAAAGTCAATTTTGACTTTTAGAAATTTGAAGTATCGATACTAGGTTGAGGGTATCGATACTCAATCTTATGGTATGAATACCCTTGACTAGAATCGATACTAGAAAATGCCTCGAAATTTTTCAGTATTGATATTCGATGAATGATATTAATGCTCACAGAACAATATCGATATGCTAAGATGTTTTGCCCAAATTTCTCAACTGTTGGGTCTACTAACATGCCCACAGAAACATTCGTGGCTCAGCGCCGCACTAAAAATTAAAACATACTAAAAGTATCACTAAAAAGCTCAAGCTATCAAGTCTACTACTATCTATTATATTCTACTAGCCCACTCCTTGAGTGTTGGACCTTGTGCCGAAGCTAGTCTGCTTTAAAACTTGTTTATTGAGTATTTTCGAATACTCACTCTCTAAGTTATGGTAGAGATCATGGTGCGGCTGAGGGTTTTGCATCTCGGAGCTCACACACCCTTTAGTCTACCCTGGATATGGCCCCCGAAATTCTCTGCATCAGAAACCATACCACTAACTAACCCACCCTTTCTTCTAAAGAGTGTTAATGCCTTGGCAAACATAGTTAGTCAGAAGGGCCTCGACCCTACCTAAAGATATCCGGATTGAATCAATAATGTTGACTCTGGTAGCTTTTTAAAAGAACTCAAGTGTCCTGGTCGTTTTCTCGAGCATTCAAAGAAGACTAGTTTTATTTCTCCTAACTTTAATTTATTTCTACGTTTGAAAATAACATTAACGTTCTCACTTGTAGTCTTATCAGAAGAATTACTAAAGTGTTGGGGTATCTCGAGTCTAAAACGCTAAAAAACTACCTTTACTACTCAAAATAGACTGAAAGTATCGATACTATCCCTGGAGTATCGATACTCCTGCTAAAGTTTCGATACTTTATATAAATACCGATACTTTTTAGCCCTCTGTTCTGGAAAGTTTTGATACTTGCCTGGAAGTTTTGAAACTATTCCTAGAGTATCAATAATCTTGTAAGAGTATCGATCCTCTTACCCATAAAACACATATTTTGCTTGGAATGATGAACAAGTATCGATACTGATAGTATCGATACTCAACCTAAAGAAAACATAATTTCACTCAAAAATATACTATTCATCTAACCCAAAGACCTTAATGAGGTCCCCAAACATTCTTAAAGTCTTATGTGATTAAAGAGGAGCATAAATAAGGTTATACAAGGTACTTAAACATCAAAACATGAAAACTACCATGATCATACAACACTAAGCTTTATAATTAAATCTCAAGCTAGAAAACATCTCTAATGATTACTAGGAGTATAAAAGGGTTGATAGTGTATTACCTGGCCTCCTTGGTTGCTAAAATCTCCCTCAACTCAACTAGGAGTCACCTTACCTTTATCTTTTGCTTTAGAAATCCACCCAACTCATTGGCTAATCAAAACAGAACTAGGGGTTACTAACTTGTATTTGCTTGGAAACTAAGTTAAAACATTATATATTACTTAATATTACTCAAAACAAGCTTAAATCTCTAGGTTTCTTTCAAGCTCCAAAAACCCATTTTGAAAACAAAATCTAAAACTCACAAAATGGAGCTTGAAACAAAGCTTGAAGGATGGAGATAAACATTCTTACCTTGGCTAAGAAAATCTAAGATTGGAATGCTTGAAACTTGGCTCTTGAAACGAAGAAGAAATGGAAACCAATGGAAGAAGAAGAAGAAGAAGAAGAAGAAGAAGAAGAAGAAGAAGAAGAAGAAGAAGAAGAAGAAGAAGAAGAAGAAGAAGAAGAAGAAGAAGAGTGGGCGGGATATTAGGGGGTTAATTTACTTGAAATGATATAAAAAGAGGGAGAAATATATCATCTTCTACAAAATGGGTAAACTACACTTTAGGTTTTTCACCTATTAACTCAATTTAAAACTATCTCTTAGCTTTAACGCTTGGGCCTAACTTAGGCCCATCACCTATATAACTTGGTCTAATATCTTGGGAAGTCTAATTGGATTGACTTAAAGATCTCGGGTTGACCTAAAATACCAACTCATGTTTTGGGGTATTACAACTCTCTCATCCTACAAGAAATTTAGTCCCCGAAATTTCCCTAGAGAAAGGTCTCACTCTGAAACTCTACTGGGCATCTATGAAAGATCTTGACTGCTAGAACATCTAACTCTAAGGGCTGGAAACTTGAACCCCTATCTTAAGATCATCTGCTAAAACTCTCTCTCTCTCTAACTGGGAACTCATTACTAACACTGAATCTTTTCTTTACTATCCTTACTTAATCGGGTTAACTTACAACACAAAAAAATAACCTCTTCTATTTGTTGGGTTTAGACAAGTTTGAGACCTTATTGAACTTGCACACTCTTCTACTAAAATCAACTTCTATGCTTCTACTGCATAACTATAATCT